CAATGTATTGAAGGTGCCCAGCATGGTAAGTTTTTTTTAAACAGAAAAGCTTTTCCTTTTGGGGTAGGCGGCAAAGACAGACAGGAAGAGAGAAGAGTTCAAGGCCAGTGTTTGGAAATCCGACATTTCCCCTCAAAGGGAGGTTAGGCCTGGTTCAGTTAGCCAGGTCCGCAGAGGTATCAAGAATAGACTGGTCTCAGTGGATTCAGAGGCCTTCACCCCACGGGGGACTTCTCAGTGCTATGTTTGAAAGCAGCTCTTTTCATCCCAGGTTCGACTATCATTAAACAGCTTTCCTTCTTATTCTCCAGGTTTGGCATCAGGCAATTGTCACTGCTCTTGTTACCTAAGAGGCGAAAGTCCCCTTTTCAAGGGCCCCAAGCGGGGATCCTTTCCCATTTGGTGTCACGAAGCCACTTTGAGACTGAAAGCAAGCCTTAGCAGCACGAGGTTTTTTATGCAATGGCGAGAAAATGGGCACTCAAATTTGCTCTGCAGCTCAGGATCCAGCTGTTGATATTGGGTGGGTTAGGTGGGTCTAGGCAGATGAGGGTGAGAGATATCCCTGGTTTTTCCAGAAAGAAGGTGAGTAAGCTTTTCAGAATCCACGTTTTTTTCTGTCTTTTTATGGTTTCTTTTGGTCATCGTCATGGTGATTGTCAGCTGTCACTGAGCCTGTAGGTGTGTCATTTACTATGGAGGTTACATAATAATGAAGTGCGAGGTCTTCTGGAGGTCACTTCCATCGCTGTCTCAGGATGAAGGTTCACCTTCTATAACTTCTTCTAGCTGAATTTGGGTGTTGTTGGGGGGCTCCCAGAAATTTTTCCCATGCTAACTTTAAATAGGTCTGATCGTCCCCCGGCTTTACTCCTGGTCATTGGTATCCCTGTGTGACTACCATTGGAAGCTTGACTGATTCAAGTCTTTTAATGACAAAAGAAAATAGACAGGTTAGGGGGCAGGGCCCTCTTAGTGGCAAGAGGCCCAAAGAGAGTAAAGAACCAGGTGAGGTTAGGCAAACATTTTTGACAGCATCCCAGATATATTTGGAGTTTTCCTAAATGAGTGTAATCATTTGGCTTGGTTATATATTTCACAGATATCAACTTCCACTTGCCTAGTATTGTTTATCCATGTACAACAGGAGTCGATAACTGCACATACCCCTCCTTGTTCAGCCAAAATATAGTGTAGGGCTTGCCTGTTACCAAGGGCTACATTAGCCAGTGAATCTAGCGAGACCCTCAGGCCGCTTAGTGCACCCACGGTCCTCCAAGCTATAGTTTCGATAATGTTGGTGAGACTGGAGAGGACAACCTCATGCTATATGAACCCACCCCCTGGGGCAAGGGCCCCTGTGGTTGCCCCCTTCCTGCCAAGATAAATCCAATCGCTCTTCTTGTCTTGGGTTGGTTATGGATTGTTACAGATCGTGACCTTGTTGACGATTAAGCGACCAAGGGTGCATTCTCCCTGGTGCTAGGTTTTTTCCAGGCAGGGGTAGCCTAGGGCTGGCCTTTTCTGTGTTATGGCGGTGACCACATAAGAAAACACCCAGATGGGGCACATATTCTTCTGCGAGGCTTTCCCCACCTGTTTAGGGCTAGAATCTGCTTGACCCAGGGAGGCGAATTTGTCTGGTTCTACCAGTGGACCCCATGTCTGTCTTGGCGGATAGTGTACGACAGCAACCCGTGTGATTCTCCCTTTCTAGTACAGGACAGAAAGCATTGAAGTCTTAGGGCTGGAGCCCGCCTGCGAGGCGTGAGGGCGCTGCTGCTCTCGTTTGGTGTTCCTGAGGAGCGGGAGCTCGAGGTCTGCTACAGGCTCGCAGGGATGCTGCGAGTTCTAGAGGGACTGAGGTTCTGGGCCAGTCACCTATTTGACCCTGGTGTGATGGATCCAAGGCATTACTCCCTGTAACTTAAGGACAGAGTTGGTAGTTAGAATTACTAAATAAGGCCCTTTGCATTTGGGCTCTGTCTGGTCTTGGGTCCGTTTTCCCTCCAGGTTTTTAGATAAACCCAGTCTCTAGGTCAGAAGGGATGTGAGAGTGGGAGGCGAAGGTAGTTCTTGGTTTCCAAAGGACTGGAGGGCTGTGGCTACTTCCCCGACGTGGGTGGCAAATTTTAGCCTGTCCAGGTCACGGACGTTTTCTTGACAAGTAGGCCCACACGGGACAGGTCTGCCATATGTTCATTCGTATGGACTCAGTTTAGGTAACCCCTTCAGGGCTCCCACAGTCTCTTATTTTATTTTAATTTTTTAATTTTTATTTAATTTATTTTTAGGCGAGGCAACCCTTGGTTGACCTCACAGATTGCAAGGACCTTGTCAGCTTACAATCCCTTATTTTTTATATTTTAAGCCTACAGCACCTGGTCTTCCTAGGTGGTCTCCCATCCAAGTACTAACCAGGCCCGACCCTGCTTAGCTTCCGAGAGCAGACGGGGTCGGGCTTGTTCAGGGTGGCGTGGCCGTAGACAAGGGCTCCTGCAGTCTTAACAGGCTATGAGGAGGAGGTCGGTCCAGGGAAGATGGGCTTCCTAGCACGGGTTAGCTAGGGTTTTCTTGAGTGTCTGATTGGTCCGTTGTACTTTTCCTGAGGACTGGGGTCTCCGAAGCAATGTGGAGGCGCTATTTGATGCCTAAGACTTAAGAGGTGTTCTTAGTAATAGCTAATATAAAGGTCGGCCCATTATCGCTTTGGGAACCCAAATCTTGGGATGATTTCAAGAGAGTCTTTGAAACCTCTAGGGAGGTTTCAGTTCGAGTGGCGAATGCCTCTGCCCATCCCAAAAAGGTATCAGTAAGCACTAGCTGGTATCTGAAACTTCCTTGAGCCTTTGGCATGACAGGAAAACCACTCTGCCAATCTTCTCCAGGTTGGGTGCCCCAATATTGGGTGGGGTGGACATGTTGTCCAGGGGCCCCGGTGGGTGGATGTTGGGGTTGTTCAAATAGCAGGTAGGATAGGTTTCTCTCCCCTTCGATCAGGATTAGCCGAGGCTCCTCAGGGGTGACTTTTAGGGCCTCATGAAGAACCTCTTGGCTCCTTCAGGCCTCTCCTCCTGTCAAATGTGCCATCTCTAGCATGGGTCAGGGTCTTGCAGACTGCGGGGCTTCCTTTGGAAGCGTCGGGGGCCTTCCCCTTTCCAATGACCCTCCTCTCTGCAGACTGCACATTGATTGGCTTCTAGCCGCTGGGGTCTTCAGTATATTCCAGAACAGAAAGCAAGGCCTTTGGTTCTGTTAAAGTAGGTGCATTGCCCTCTAGACTACATTTTTTTTTTTTTTTGCAGACCCCTGTTCTGATATAGGGCCATGAAAAGCTGGACACACAGCATTTCATCCCTTTTGTTTGTTTGTTTGTTTTGTTTTTGTTTTTGGCAAAATAAAACTAATTGGACTATAGTATTGTAAGCGAAGGAGCCATTCACCAGCCAACTTTCTCCATCCTCCAATTTATACTGGGGCCAGGCTGTATCACAGAAAAAGATCAGCTGTTTTCTTGTTAACAGGTGGTATCCAAATGATTTCCAATTCCGGAGGTGGCATCCCAACAGGGAGCCCTCCAGGATGGAGGTCTGGCTGCTCATACCCCAGATCTGTGATCACAGGTCTGTTCCAATTCCCTAAGGGCTTGGAACCATGGATGGTTGGTAGGAACATAGATCTCACAACTTTTTGCCCAAATAAAGCTGGAGAATTTCTCAGATACATCCCGGCTCCAGAGGGCAAGCGGGTGGTAGGTTGGCTTCTGTGGTATCAGGCACAGACCCGACAGAGTCATTGGAGGCTCAGATACCGGCCTGGCTGACCTGGGCGTTTGGGGTGAAAACCAGGAATCCTAACCGCTAGACCATGTGGGAAGTGGCGGTGGGAGTCCAGTAGGGGTGGCCCTAATTTGACAGTGTCTGAAAGGCATGAGAGAGGGGGGCAAACGTCCAAACACAGGAAACTAAGACACTTCTTTACAGTAAAAAGAAGGCGTGGGGTTTCCCAGGTGGTAAACCGAAGTGGCCCCAGAGAGAACACGTAGTCGTGGAGAAGGGGGACCCTAACCTCCGCCGAGGACGAGGGAAAGTGACTGAGGGCACGCGGGGTCGCGCCCGAGCGAGGCGGGGGAGAGGTAGGACACGGAATTTACGCGAGTCGACCAGAACCGCAGAGGCCAGGATGGATTCCCAGGCTAATTGTGAAGCAGAAGAGGATGAACACTAAGAAAATTCCCATTCATAACACAAACGAGATCGTCCTTAGATTTGGTGTCTTACCCGGGAGTCGCCTGAAATTTCTGCGATCGTGGGTATCGTAGTTCGTCTGTCACCTTTTCCAGAGCCCGAAGCGAGCGCCTTACTCCGGACTGAACCAGTGACCTTGCGCCGGGTGTCCCCGAGCACGAACCTGGTTTCGGGCGGGCGTCCCTGATCTACTTAGCCCAGGGGTCTCCTCCTCGGTACCCACTGCCTCCTTTACTCGCGCTTGGCTGTTAAAAGGTGCCCAGTGTTGTTTCTGGTGTCCCCAGTCTCTCCCCACCCCACGCGGCGCTCAACAGCCGAGGACCGAGGCCACTTTAGTGGGGCGAGGGTCCCAGAGACAAAAGGTTCGGAGCTGTCCCCAGGCGGCAGGAGCAGAGATACTGGAGTGGTTCAGACAGAGCCCAACGGTGTGGCTGGCAGAAAGCAAAGCAAGCTGTCCATCAAGAAGACACGGTGTTTGGACCCCCAAGAGTGCCTGCCCCGCGCGCCCCGGGCCCCTGCTTCACAACACCGGCGTCCTCGCCTGCACCAGGCCCAGGACGGTCTTTTTGTAAGATCTCCTGGAAAGAGCACTCTAAAGTCCGACTTTCCAGCGGTCTGAGTCTAACACCGTCTGGAGGCGTGGAGAGGCGCCACAAGCAGCACTCGGGAGGCTGCAGAGCACGCGGGGCAGGCCCCGCCCCCATGCAGGCCCCGCCCCCAAAGGTAGGCCCCCCCGCCACCTGCACTTCCGCCGGAAGTCGGCCTTCCCGCCAGCGACGCGTGCCTACGTCACTGGCCCGCCGGAAGTGTGGGGCGCGCCCTGGAGGCGGCGTTGCGGTCGGGCTGGTGGTTTCTTTCTTCCGCAGGTAAGGGGGCTTCGGTTGGGCTCTCGGATAGCTCCGCGGGTCCAGGGTGTCGGTCTCCCGGCCTGACCCGTCCTTCCTCCACCCCGCCCAGGGCCCGGACACACCCCCAGTGTTCTCCTCGAGCCTTCTGCACCCCGCCTTCCACCCTGGGTTCTGGCCCCAGGGTAAAGTTCCTGCCACGCCCACCCACCGGGACCCTGGGATAGAGAGTAGCTTTGGGAGGCTACTTCAGGTCCCCAGCATGGGCACCTCAGGGGTAGGGGTACACACCAGTATCCGAGGCTCCCAGCTTATTTCTTCCCAGTTAGCTTTTTCTCTCGAAGTCTTATAACCCCGTTCCCTCTGCGGGGTCTCAACATCCCCCGACTTCCAGGTCCTTTTCCACAATGTATTCCACCCCGACACCTATTATGTGAGCGTTGACTTGATCTGTCTTTGCAGCCGGATTCAGCCTCCTGGAGGAACCATGCCTCCTTCAGCTTTGGGTGTCATCTGTCGTGCCAGGTGCACGCTGCTGCCCGAGAGGAGATGCCTTTTGAATTCTCCGTGAATGTTGGGAGGAGGAATGCCAGAGCTGCCGACTGAAATCCAAACAAAAGAAGTTTGTAGGTCGGGGACCCTGAATTCTTAACACCTCGTGAGAATTGTTGCTCTTTGTTTCCTATCTTATGAATAGTTTCTAGTTTGGTGATCTCCTTTGGAAGTCTGGCCCAAAATCTTACTTGCTAAGGCTGTAAGTAGCCATCTCCAGTTTTTTAATACAGGCCTGTATTAATACATCACTCCAAGGACAGGATGCCTGATTCTGGGCTCTGCACTGTCTCTAGGGGGTGCTTGTTTTGATAGCATTGTTAACAGATTCTTTTGGCCACGTTCTGTTCCAGTATCTTTGTGAACGTATTTAAGGAAGTAAAAAAATGATTCGTTGCTGGGAGGAGGGAGGCGGATGCATTTTGCATATTCTTCCCCACTTCATTTTGGAATTTGCAGATAGAAGATGCCCCAGAGCAGACCACAATGGAGCTTTTGCAAGAGAAAGAGCTCAGGACCTTCTGAGAGGCCCAACTGAAGAGGCAGGGTGTGCTTTAGGGCTGTTTGGGGAGCTGTTTAAGTAGTTAATGTCTGAGACTGTGTGCTGTGGAATGAATCTCATTATAGTCACACTTTCTTTTCTTTTGTAGCCTCAGGATGGACTTTCTGGTTCTCTTTTTGTTCTACTTGGCTTTGGTGCTGATTGGGGGTGTTATGATCTGCATCTGCTCAAAAACTCATCGCCTGAAAGGCCTGGTCAGGGGCGGCGCACAGGTAACAATAATGGTTGTAGACCACTGGATTTTGAATACTACCCGACTAAAAGGCTCACCACTTTCCTAACAGAAGGAGAAAGGGATGACATTTTTATTCATTTGTTTACTTGTTCTTTCATCTATGGCAGTTGTAGTATAGTCTCTGGGAGTTTCGTTGTTGTTATTGTTGAAAGTAATCTTGTGATGATGCTTTGAGAGAAAATAGTATTCTCAAGGTTGGCTATTTCTCTCTGGATTTGTTACCTATAGTTGGTCATAGATGTGAGCAGTGTCTGCCTGGAGGGGCTTGTTAGGTGAAACTCGTGATGTGTGAGCAGAAAGCTAAGCATTGGGCTGCCCACATTCTTTCGAGTATCACTGTGCAAAAAAAATTGGGATGAGCAGCCCTTGGGAAGGGTTGACTTCAGAGGGACCTGGGCTAATGGCCAGCGATTTGGAGGTGGACTTTGGAATGCAGGATTGAACCCAAGGCAGGGAAGGAGTGGCGTTCACATTAGCGTTACCTGATGATCCCCTCGGCTCACCTCCCTTTGCCTGAAGACCCTGACGCGGTACCTTCTTTGAGGTCAGGATGGAGGTGGAGGAGTTGGTATCAGGAAGGCCAGCCGAGGGAAGCCCTCCTCTCTATTCTCTCTTAAATCTCTTCTTTGCCCCTATGCGGAATCACAACTTAATATCACCAGCATCGCCTGCTGGCCTGCTG